CCATCGGCAGGTTCAACAGGTTTTTGCAGGGGACTGAGATAACTAAATACAGATGCATTTATGATCAAGTGCCACAGCACATATTTTTTAACAGTAGGCCATAGCCCTTCTGTAAAGCATGGCACTTGTGCACACATGAAACACAGCAGGAATAATTAATGAGTAAAAATTACTCCCTTCATGTAAAAATATAATTATGAACTATATTTTGCAACTTTGACATGTGTTAGTAAAACCGTACATATCGTCACAACAACTTTGTACAGCCAGGTGAATTATACCGCGTTCTTTTTCAGGACAAATTGGGCTTTCATTTGGTAAATGGTAATGGATATCTCCTGATTTTTTTTATTATCAAAGGAAAACTGGCCCAAAATAGTAAAGTAAAAAATATATTTTTTTTAAATTTAGCTGTGTGTTTCTTGTTACCACCGTAACCTACCACCAAAGAACAACCCAAAATAAATTTTCCAGCTCTTGACGATCGCAGCGGTACCATATATGTGTATGTTATTTGTTGTTTGTAACCACAGTACAACCCAGAAACAACAGTGAGCATTTTGTTTTTGTTTTTCTTTACCTAAAACATACTGACTATGACACTAACTGACACTCATATCAATAAAAACAAAAAAAATGCTAACCTTTGACCCCGATCTTTGACCCAGACCTTTGACCCAAACAATATCCCTGGCATTGAACTAGATCAAACCTTGATTTAGGTATTTTTTCTTTATTTTTTATTTTATTTTTGAATATTTATTTATTTTAAACAAACAGTTGTTTTTTTTTTTTCTATGCAATGAGAGGGAGAGAGATACAATGTATCGTTCATAAAGAAAAAAAACAAAACGGGGGGCAGGCTGTACACTGACTGATCACTGTGATAAATAAAAAATAAAATAAATAAAATTCAGAGGTTATCACAGTGATCATGTGACCCTAAATCGGGAGTCACAGGTCCCGATTGTTACAACGGGACCTGGGGCTCTCAGTGACACCCCAGTCTTTGTGCTGGGAACATGCTGTGCGGCGCGCTCCCAGCACAAAGACGCAAATATGCGGTCCCATGGAAAAAAGCCCAGTTCTGTGAGGCCGCATATTTGTGACGTCGGTGTGAAAGGGTTGAACATTAACACATTATGATAATAAAACAATGATTAATAAAACTCACGTGTACACAGGCACAATTAGGGGTGTATTTATTTTTAAAAAATGGCATAGCTATTTGTCCAGCAAAACTGTTGGTACAAGTGTTTTGCGTGAAGGAGGCAAAATTGAATGTTCTCAGAATATTTCTTCTACAGGCCGAATGTTCATTAATCAAAAACAGAGAGAAAATATTGCATTGTGGCCACTAGGTGGAGCTGATGATCAAAAGAAATAAGTATTTAGAATTTGGAAAATTTTTATCAATCAGCAGATACAGCCAATCAGCTGAAGCCGATGACCAGTGCATTCTGACAGCTGAAAGTGCAGCTTACAATGCATCAGATTACAATGTCCCGGTGGTGAGATTCCTCCATAACCCTCATTTGTGCGGATGGAGGAATCTGAACAAAAAAACAGCATATGGGAACCTTAAGGCGCTGCTGCCTCTGACTGCTACTCTCAGGAGATTAGTAGTGAGATTTGATGATGTCACTACTGAGCTGATTGCTGTTCTCCTTGTTGGAGAGGAAGCTTCACCTGAGAACCTGCAGTGCAAGGATCTCTCTGCTTCTGCTTCATCTGTTCTGTCAATCTGTGTTTTCTGCATCTCTCTTGCAGCTTCTTGATTATTTTCCCTTTGTTATCACATCACCAGTCATCATGAGGCAGCTATGACAACTGAAAACTAAGCCCTGCTCCACTAGCAAGATGGCTGCTTCCACACAGAGACACTGTACAGAACAAGACAGAAATAGTCAGTAATATGGACAAAGATCAAGTACAGGGAACTTACAGACAATACTAGTGATTAGTCCTCTGCTTGATTTTGGACTGAGTCCACAGTCTGGGCCTTTTTCAACAGAATTTGTCATAAACTGTAAAGTGTTGTAAAAATGCATACACACAACATCCTCTACTACCATGTTTTTTATGAATGAAAGACACAACTTTGACAATTTCTGATGATGATCAAGCTTGCATGCTTTTTCCTAGCTTCTTCACTGCCTATTGGCCGAAGATGCAGACCATTGCAGTGCTGAGCCAATAAAAGTGTGTGGGGAGTGAGAAGTAAGGGCAAGCTCCAACCCTACCAAGAAGTGCCAAAGACCTGGGGTATTGGGGGGCCTACTCAGGGCTGTCTTTACCATGGGCCAAAAAGGGCAGCTGCCCCAGGCCCAGTCATTGTTGTGGGGCCCAAACAAGCTGCCCCTTGAGCCCCTTGTCTAGGAGGGTCCCGGTGGTGGCAAGAGCAGGGGAAAGGCAAGCATTGACAGTGTCTAGATGGGAGAGAGAAGACCTCCACCACTCTCCTGACCCCCACAGAGGCGAGCAGCAGTGGGCGCACCATCCCTGGTGGCGGCGCCTCCCAGATCATGGAATCCTCCAACCTCCTGGCTTGTGGCTCCGACAACAGCAACAACTGCCTGGAGGACAAGCTGACCAGGGGCCCAAAGGAAAAGGTCGGGTGGGAGCGCAGACAGTCAGGAACCACAGAGCAGAGGAAGGAGCCGATCACCCAGAATGAGAACGGACCCTGCCTGCTACTGGTATGCCAGGTGCCACACACTACAGACAGGGCTAGGGGTGTCTCTCTCATCCTCCCCCCTCTCTCTCACCTTCCCCCTCTCACCTCCCCACCCGTCTCTCTTACCCCCCCCCTCATTCTCTCACTGCTCTCTCACTCCCTTCTTTCTTTCACCCCCTCTCTCTCTTCTTCCCCCCCTCTTTCTCACCCCTCTCTTTCTTACCCCCTTCTCTCTCTCAACCCCCCCTCTCTCTCTCCCCCACCAATTTCTCTCTCTCATCCCCTTCACTCTCTCACCCCCTCACTCACCCCCCCCTCTCCCTCTCACTTCCTATCACTCTCCCCCCTCTCTCACCCCCCAACCCCCTCTTTCTCTGTCTCACCCCCCTCTATCTCTTTCACCTTCCTTCTCCCCCCCCCCCCTCACCCCCCTTCTATCTCTCTCACTCCTCTCTTTCACCTCACTCTCTCTCTCTCATCCTCTCCCTCTCTCACTCACCCCCCACCCCTTTCTCTCACCCCCTCTCTGATACCCCTGTTTCTCTAATCCTCCTCTCTCTCATCCCCTTCTCACCACTCTCTCTCTCACTCCCTCTCTTTCTCCCCTCCCCCCCATAAAGGCAGAGGGAACTGAGTGGACAGTAACTAACAGATGACAGCAAGTGATTGTTGCTGATCCCATCCCTCCACCAACACAGCCACTCATCCCATCCCACATCAGCACTGCCACTCATCCCATCCTTCGACTCCCACAGCACTGACACTTGTCCCATCCCCTCTATCTCTCACCAATTTCTCTCTCTCATCCCCTTCACTCTCCCTCTCACCCCCCCCCCCCTCTCTCTCCCTGTCACTTTCTCTCTCTCTCATTCCCTCTCTCACCCCCCAACCCCGCCTTTATCTCTCTCACCCCCCCTCACTTCCCTCTCTCACCTCTCTCTCTCTTTCACCTTCCTTCTCTCCTCCCCCTTTATCACTCCCTTCTGTCTTTCTCACTCCTCTCTCTCTCACCCCCTCTCTTTTTCACCCCCCTTTCTCTCTCATCCTCCCCTCTCTCACCCCCGACCCCTTTCTCTCACCCCCCTCTCTCATACCTATGTTTCTCTAATCCCTAGAGACTGCACTGTCCATTGTTAATTATTTCCTGTGAGGACAGGAGGTTCAGGGAAGCTGCAATGAGAGAGCATAAGCCAGCAGCGAGCCGACCAGAAGTGGAAGCAGGTACCTGTCAAAACCAGGTTCCCCCCCCCCAAAAAAAGGTGGCAAAAACAAAGGAGGAGGGGGGATGAGGGCATAAAGAGAAACTTCCCAATAGGGAGAAGTTACACTTTAAGCTAGAAAATTGCTAAGGACTTAATACTACTTTAAGGATGTATGAACATTTTGTTCTGCCATGTAAAGTACACATTGTATTCTTTATGTGAATTGGTGATGTATCAGCAAAATGTTTAATGTCTTTTGTATTTCAAAAGAAGTGTAATCTTGCCTGCAGCTAATGGATTAAAAACCTTCCATAAAAGAGGTGAACTTGACCGAATGGTAATGGTCTAACCACTTGTTTTAAACTGTCTGTAGTGCTATTAAAGGATGTGCATTTTTAGGTGCGGGTACATCGGTTACCTAGTTACTAACATATGGAAGACAATACATCTCAATGTGCTTCACCACATAATCATTATCCACACATTTTTACAGAAAATAAGTTACATAACACTCCTTGCTTAAACTACTGCTTTTTCCCAAATGTGTGCTCCAGTACAGACATGAGCCAAAATTAAAAATATATATTATACACATTTTTAGAAAAGTCCCTTATATTAAACACAGAACCAAGAATGTAATATATTGCAGCTTAACAACCATTATATGTAATGGCGGCATTAGTTTTCCTTTTTTAGGCTTTTTCCCCTGTTTCCACCTGGTGATCAGGCCAGTAACACACCTCCTGTATTAGATCAAAAAATGTCAGGTGGCAGGGATGTTAAAGGTAAAAACACACACATAGTTATAAAAAAGAACTACTCTACTAAACATGTATTAAGCTAAAAACACCTAGAAAGTACAGGTTCATAATTAAGATGTGAACAATATCCAAAAGCTCAAAGGGAGGCAGTTAACCATATGATGCAATACAGAACCCCTTAATATACAGTAGCATAGCCTGGGGAATTGGTAAAGTCCAGATAGTGTAGTTCCAATATCTGACATGTTTCAAGACCGAAGTTCTTCTTCAGGGACAGTCCTGGAACAACTCACCACACTCAGGAGTATAGTCAGGGGTCACATATAAAGATAAAGCCTGTGAGAAATTCTTAAAGTGCTACTAAACCCACAACAGTAAAATCAGTCTGTATATGCAGCAAAGCATGCTTGTTTTACTCACTGTGGAACCTTAAGGGTTAATCCTCTGCATTGTGTAAAAAGGTTGTCTGATCCTGACTTCTCTGATCCTCACCTTCTTCCAGTGTCCTCCTCTTATCTCCTGATAAGGCATATTCTGTGGAGACACTCTGCACATGTTCAGTTTGGTGTGTATTGCTAGAGTGTTTTTTTGTTTTGTTTTGGGAGGGTGCATGTGATCTGCACAGGGCCACTCAGCACTGTCCAGACAGAAGTCAGGGACTCTGCATCCTCCTAGAGCAGAAAGAAAACTACTCCTACAAGCTTTAACATGTGCTCTGCTGAACACTGATAGAAGTCACAAGACTGCTCTAACTGCTGATTAAAAAAGTTACTTAGCAGTTTCTATTTACTAAAATATGTTCTGTGTACTGTGGGAGACCAGATAGAGTGAATGCAGGGTCCTGGGTTTAGTAACACTTTAAAAACACATATTGTGTATATGCATGTGCTCAATCAAGCCAACAGCAAGGAAGGGCTAACAGGCAGGGTTGAGCAACGGCAACAGAGATCCATTGTAGCTGTTGCCACTCATATAGGAGACCAATCTGGCCAAATGGCAGCACAACCATCCAACATAAGGTGAGCAGTGTCAGTGCTATCTTTTAACCCCTGCACACCAGTGCCTCCCAGCCCTTTAAGGGGTTTCTGGCATTGGGAGGCGGGGTGGGGTTTAGGATAATGTGACCACCATGATTGGCTGTCACAGCATTCACATGTTTGGAAAGGTCCTGATCCCAAGGAGAGATCGGGACCTTTCCGTGGTACGCCGACACTTGCTGGGAGCGCGCTCTCATCACGTTGTTTACAAATGGTACACAAATATGCAGCCGCTCGGCATCAAGACCTAGCAGCTGAGAGGCCACATATTTGCGTACGCTTGGCGTGAAGAGGTTAAATAGTAGAAAAAAATAGGCGCTCAGCAGGATGAAGAGCAGCTGGCACTCAAGGTCAATAACCCAAATAATTTACACAACTAGGGCAGCGCTCAAAAGACAAACGTGAATAAAGTGAACTAGCATAAGTACCACGAATAAACCACAAAAATAAAAGTAGCTAAATACCATATACCTATAAATACTGAGTGTCCAACCAATAATAAATAACTAATAAAGTGCAAAGTGATAAACACGTTTGTAAAAAGTAATATTTAGAAAAGTTCAAAATGAATGAGTGTTTCTACTTTAAAAGCCTTCAGGTAATCCAAGTGTTTTTCCTCTAATTCCCACCAGCACACCGCAGTCACCAAAATATATGGCTGCTAAATTATAGGCGGCATACAGGCAATGCAAATATTCAGCAACGGAACTCCTTGGTCTCAGGTGTGGTCCATTTAAGAAAGATGACCCTCTGCTGCTGATGTCTACTAGACTGTTACTGTTCGGAGCCAACAGATGGATATTCATAGCTGTGTGGATAAACTGCTCGCCAGCAGAAACCAAATGAAATGTGTTCAGTGTAGTATCTCTTTTTATTTTAAGTTTTAATTAGCACAAGTTTTAGGTAAATGCAAGGATTGAATAAACTCACAAAGATGGCTATCGCATCTGAGACCATACAGCAGCATGACGTCAGCACTCTTAACTCCACCCAACGCGTTTCTCGCTCTAGCATATCCTCAGGGGTCATCCTCAGGGATTTTGAGTGAACAAGCTGAAGTTAGAAGCTGATTGGCTACCATGCACTGCTGCACCAGATTTTGCTCCCGTTTTAGCAAATCAACTCCCTAGTGTCACTTCCTAGTCTGTCTCAAAGAGATAGTGAAGGGAAATATGACTGATGAAATGTAGACTTAGCTGCCATGCCATCCATGTTTGTATATCCACCTGACCATCATAAGGCATGTTATATGCTTCCAAAGCTTATAGAATCTTTGCATTGAGCAGCACTGTACTGCTACAAGTGTATACAGAACAGGACTGCATCCCTTTGATTACATTTTTCTTTACTTTCTCACTTAACAACAGAAAACAATACCATTTAAAGTGAACCTGTTATGAAAGAAATCCTGATCACCTGTGAAGAAGTTGTATGCTTTGTCCTTCATGGTAGTTTTGACTTCTCCTAGCTTCCAACTAGTTCTAAGTAATTAAAATGCCAAATAGGAAAGCCAGAGAGTCAGTATGGCAGTCATATGAGGGTGGGAAATGGTAGCATGTGTAGTTGTTGCAGGAGAGGATCCCTTTTAAGGGAGACAGAAAGCAATTGCTACAGAACACAACATAGCACAAGACTAAGGGGAACATCAGAGGAGCAGCATAGAAGAGAAGAATACTAGTATGGATCAGACCTTAGCAGAAGGCCAAAGGTAGAATCATGATGAGAAGGATCCAGTATTAGATAATTCAGAAATATAAGATTACAACAGGAGACAGTGGGAAAAATGTGCAGAATTTTACAGGAGAGAGAATGCGGGGAAATGAAACAAGGGAAGATAGAGGAGAGAATATGGAAACTTGGGGATATTACAAAAGGCAGCGAAGAGAATGAGGTGGATTAAAATTTGCAGTACACCAAGGAACAGGAGATAGAATGAAGTGTAATACAGAGAGGAACACTGATTACAGATAACATTAGAAATATAGCAGGCACAGGACACAATGAACTAAGAGGCATTTATGGAAATGGTTATAGCTGGAAACAATAAGGAGCCCACAGTGGCCAGAACACATCACAGCAGCAGAAAGGACACACTGGAATGGGAGTCAGAAATGAGAGCACTGTGTGCACCAGCAGACTACATACAATGGAGTCAAAGGTAGCATGGAGGAGAATACTGTTATGTAGCAGCCAGGGGCGGACTGACAACTCATAGGGCCCCCGGGCAATAGGGGATCATGGGGCCCCTGTGTCCTTGCCCAAACTCAAAAAAGCCTATGAAAAAGGTACCAGGGGCATCTCATGGGGCCCCCTACTGACCCCTACTGTGTTTCCAAATGGTCAGTCCGCCCCTGGTAGCAGCACACTAGAATGAGAATCCAACAGTAGAGTATACACACAGGGTTCATTGAGTATAGAGGAGCAAACTATATACACAGGGCACACGGGGTGCAGCAGAGGCGTAGCTAGGATATTTTGCGCCCGGGGACGAACGGCTACCTCATGACACCCCCCCCCCCACTTCATATGGTCCCTGTAGACACCCCCCTGATCCCGATCACATTGCCGCCACCCTTCATCCATGGCACTACTCACCCGGCTCGGCTCTCCCCTCGTCCCCTCCTGCACATGCCCGGCTCACTGCCCTCCTCTCCACTCCTCTCCCGGCCGGCTCCTCTCTCCTCTCATAACTCACTGTGGATGGCAGACGTAGCAGATGACACGTCTGCTGCAGCCGCTGCAGTGATCTTGTGACCTCATTTTGGTGCCCTGTACCTTGGCGCCCGGGGACATATGTACCCCCCTGCCCCCCCCCCCCCCTAGCTACACCTCTGGGGTGCAGAGGAGCAGAGTATACAGACCAGGCAGAGTGGGGAAGTGCAGAGTATACAGACTAGGTGGAGGGGCACAGTGCAGAAAAACAGAATATACAGACTAGGTAGAGGGGAGTAGAGTAAAGAAGAACAGAGTATATGGACTAGGTAGAGGGGATCAGAGTACAGAAGAACAGAGTATACATACTAGGCAGAGGGGAGCAGGATACAGAAAAACACAGTATACAGATTAGGTATGGGGGGCAGAGTACAGAAGAACAGAGTATACAGACTAGCTAAAAGGGGTAGAGTTCAGAAGAACAGAGTATACAGACTAGGTAGAGGGGATTAGAGTACAGAAGAACAGAGTATACAGACTAGGTAGAGGGGAGCAGAGTACAGAATAACAGAGTATGCAGACTAGGTAGAGAGGAGCAGAGAACAGAAGAACAGAGTATACAGACTAGGTAGAAGGGAGTAGAGTACAGAAGAATAGAGTATATAGACTAGGTAGAGGGGAGCAGAGTACAGAATATCAGAGTATACAGACTAGGTAGAGGAGAGCAGAGTACAGAATATCAGAGTATACAGACTAGGTAGAGGAGAGCAGAGTACAGAAGAACAGAGTATACAGACTAGGTAGAGGAGAGCAGAGTACAGAAGAACAGAGTATACAGACTAGGTAGAAGGGAGTAGAGTACAGAAGAACAGAGTATATGGACTAGGTAGAGGGGATCAGAGTACAGAAGAACAGAGTATACAGACTAGATAGAGGGGAGCAGAGTACAGAAGAACAGAGTATACAGACTAGAAGGGGGAGTAGAGTAGAGAAGAGCAGAATATACAAACTAATAGGGGGGAGTAGAGTAGAGTAGAGTAGAGAAGAGCAGAGTATACAGACTAGATGGGGGAGTAGAGTAGAGTAGAGTAGTGAAAAGCAGAGTATACAGACTAGGTAGAAGTGAGCAGCATGGAGAAGAGCAGAATTTATCAATATGGTAAAGGGGAGCAGAGTATGTAGAGTAGGTAGAGGGGAGAATAGGAGAATAATGTCAGAAAACACAAACCAGGTGGAGACAGAAAGTGCAGTTAAAATCACACCCTTAATGAAATAGCAAAAATAACACAGTTCAGGAACATAGTCAAAATAGAAGCCAGGGTTTGGATGCCAAAGCGGGTAATCAAACGAGCCAGGGTCAAGAAACCAGAAATCAGCGTAATCAGAAGCCAAAAATCAGGAACAGGAATCGAAAGAGAAGTCAGCCAGACTGAGTTATACATAGGAACACGGGTAGGAACACACTGGAGATTATAGACCACGCAAGGGCAACGAAGAAATGAGCTAAGCTGCTAAAAGGGCAAAAAGGGCTAGCTGTAGGCTGGACTAATGAGGCAGGTAATTGTATCCAGGTAAACCATTGTGGAGACAATGAGTGGCTGGTGATTACCAACAGCTGAGCAGCCTCTGAATACTGAAAGAAAAGAGCTGCTCATTAAGTAGCAGGAGCCCAGCCCTGACAGTACCCCCTCCTTAATGATACCTCCCCCTTGGGGGGGGGCACCTGGCTTGAGGGGAAAATGTAAATAGAAGGTACGGAGGAGAGGAGGAGCATATCTAAGGATGAGACCTAAGAGCTTTCCTCCAGACCCTAACCCCTCCAGTGATCTAGATATTGTATGCGTCCACGAAACCTACGGGAGTCATAGATAGATTGTATCTCACATTCATCATGGTTGTCAACCTGAGGGTGTGGTACCGAGGTGGCATAGCAGTTACACACCAAAGGTTTTACTAAGGAAACATGGAATATGCTGGAAATGCACATGTTGGAAGGAAGATCTAATGCGTATGCTACTGAATTAACCCTACAGAGTATGTGGAAGGGCCCAATATACCGAGGCACCAGTTTTAGAGAGAGAACATGGAGTTGGAGGTTATGGGAAGACAGCCAGACCCTCTCCCCAACTTGTTAGGAGGGTGCAGGTAGGAGCCTGGAGTTTGTACCACTCTCTGGAGCATTGCAAGGGTTCTTGGGTCTGATGTTCAGATGTTCCTCTACCTCAGAAATTTTCTGCGGAAAAAATGTATCAGGCAACATGGATGGCTGGAACCCATAGTTCGAGATAAACAGACATAATTGAGAGGTGGCATTGATGGCATTATTGTGAGTAAACTCCGCCCAAGGTAACAGGTCAACAAGGCCAGTTGTTATGGTAGTCTCAATTATAGCAATGTAGGAACTGTTCCAAGGCTTGGTTGGCCCATTCTACAGCCTCATTGGACTACAGGTGATATGCCGAACAGAAGGAACCCATGTAACTGCAAGACCTCCCGAGTGAATATTGATGCCAGTTCTTTGGATGTAGGCAACTTCTTTAGCAATGTGACATTTTCAAAAACGGGTCAACCACCATAACAATAACTGTATTGCCCTGGGACTTAGGTAAATCCACAATACAATTAATAGACAAGTGGGTCAAAGTTCTCTCTCCACTGGGTTTGGGTTGTAGAAGGCCTACTGGAAGGTATTTTAATCTGAGAACACACAGGACAAGCAGCTACAAAGGCGGTTACATCAGCAAGGAGACTAGATCACCAGAATTGTTGAGGCAAAGACAATATGAGTTGCTTTTTCCCTGGGTGCCTAGCTGCTTTGGAAGAATTGTAGGTCTGGAGCAAAGCAGTGTGGAGATTCTTGTTGGTGAAGCAGCGGTCATGAGGTTTTCCAGGAGAATGGATTTGAGAAGCCGGAATTTTTGCACCCAAAGGTGAAGTGAGACTAGTGCAATTAGTGGCCAAAATGCAGTTCAGAGGTATCATAGGAGTAGGAAGAGACTCCATTTTGGAAGAGGAGAAAAACTGCCGTGATAATGCATCTGCCCTTATATTTTGCGTTCCGGGTTAGAATGAGACTATGTAATTGAAGCTTGACAGAAAAAGGGTCCACCGAGCCCTTCTAGGAGATAAGCGGTTTAGCCTCAGACAAGAATGTGAGATTCTTATGGTCAGTCAAAATGAGGACCGGCACAGTAATACCCTTGAGGAGATGCCTCCATTCTTTAAGAGCTAAAATGATGGCTAATAATTCTCTGTCCTCAATTTTTTAATTGCATTCTGCTGATGACAATTTTTTAGAAAAGTAGCCACACTGATGCAAAGGGCCCACAGGGGTAGGACGTTGAGAAAGGAGAGCGCCTACTCCAGTCTCAAATGCATCAACCTCAAGAATGAAGAATAACGTAGGATTAGGATGTGCCAGCAGTGGGGCTGCAGCAAAAGCAGCCTTGAGAGATTCAAAGGCTTTAATGGAATCCAGAGACCAATTCTGGGGCTGCCCTCCTTTCTGGTCATATCAGTCAGGGGTTTGACCAGAGAAGAGAAATTAAGAATACATTTCTGATATTAATTGGCAAAGCCAAGAAAACGTTGTAAAGCATGTAGACCTATGGGTTGAGGCCACTGTAAGGCTGCAGATAGTTTCTCTGGGTCCATGAAAAACCCATCAGCAGATATGACATAACCCAAAAATTTTACCTATTTGAGATGACACTCACACTTTTCCAATTTGCAATACAGGTTGTTCTCTCTCAAGGAGATGTCTGTGTGGCGATTCTCTAGGGATTTTGAATATATGAGAATATCATCGAGGTAAACCACCACACATTGCTGCAGCATATCTTGGAGGACATTGTTAATAAATTCCTGGAATACTGCAGAGACCAAAGGGCATTATGAAATATTTGTAGTGTCCAGTATTAAATACAGCCTTTCATTCGTGGCCCTCTTTAATCCTCACGAGACTAAATGCCCCTCTCAAATCGAGCTTAGTGAAGACCATTGCTTTCTTGAGGCAGTAAAATAATTCAGTTGTCAATGGGATCGGATAAGCAAATTTAACAGTAATGCGATTGAGACTCTTATAATTGATACAGGGCCTAAGTTCACCACTCTTCTTTTTCACAAAAAACCGCCCAGCACTGACAGGAGAAGATTTGCGGATGAACCCCCGAGATAGTGAATTTGCAAAATACTCCTCCTTAGCCTTATCCTCTGAGAGACAGAGGACAAACCTGGCCACGAGGAGGAATTGCACCAGGTTGAAGATCAATTGTGCAGTCATAAGGCCGATGTGGCAGCAAAAATACCGGTCTGACCTTTGTCAAAGACATCCGAGAATTACTGTACTCTTTTGGCAAAGAAGAGACAGAAGACGTGCACAAGACCCTACTCAGTTTCTGAAAACAAGTATTAGTGCATTATGGTGACATGACAGAACCATGGCTCTCTGACAATCATATGAAGGATTGTGCTTTTGTAACCAAGGATAACCAATGACAACTGGGTGAGAAAATGAATTGGAATTGGATTATCTCATGGTGAAGAGCCAGTTAACAGAGCAGTTTCATGGGTCATATGGGCAGCCTGTAGAGGTCAACCATCAATAGCCTCAATGGCAAGTGGGAAGGCACGAGACTGCAGCCATATCGAGTGCTTCAACAAGAAGGCACTATCTATGAACAAGCCTGCAGCCCCAGAATTGATTAGTGCCTGGGTGTCAATTAAAAACTTAGACCAGGAAATGGTAACTAGAATTAGAGTCTTTTCTTTAAGGCTAGCTGGGGATGCAAAGACGCCACCTAAGGTCTGTCCCCCACAGGACCTCAGGTGTGGGCGTTTCCCGGAAAGGTTGGGCAAGACTTCAATAAGTGATCTGCTTGGCCACAGTGAAGACCAAATCTCTCCCTTCTCCTAAAGGCCCTTTCTTCGGCAGAGGGAGGTGTGAAGCCCAGCTGCTTGTGCTCTACCTCACTGGAGGACTCAGGCCCAGGAGGCATAGATAGTAATGCAAAGCTCGGAGCCAAACGTGCAGGAGACTTATACAACTGCTCCTTAAATTGATTCTAAAGGCTTATTTTTTATATATATATATTTTTTAATAATAAACATGTCTATACATACCCGCTGTGTGCAATGGTTTTGCACAGAGTAGTCCAGATCCTCATGTCAGGGACCATCGTGACGCATGGTGTCTGTCAAGACATGCAGGCAGCAGGGCACTAGGACCCAGGCGCACCCATCACCTATGACGGTGCTGGGCAGGCACTAGGACCTAGGCTGCGCCTGTCAGGTGCAGGGCGGGCTACTTAAACCAGCCCTGCACAGACACAAGTTGTGGTATGGTCTGATCTTGTTCCTGTGTTCCCGTTGTTTGAGATTCGTTGCTGACCTGCCTGGACCTGACCCCTGCTGACTTCTCCTGCTCTGACCCCTGGCTAAGTTTGACCTCTCTTTTGGATATCCCTACCTGATCTGAACTACTGGTACCAACCCCGGCGAGTGACCTGACTATTCTTCTGCCTGCTGCCTTGTACTACGCTGACCCCTCTGTTACAGACCTGGCCCGTTTGACCACGCTATTGCTCAGCCATCCATCCGACCCGCACGGATTAGCTGCTACTCTCCAGACCTGTCTGCCTCTTCACGTCAGGCTCTCTACCTGTCATTACCTCTGGTGATTCCTCTACCTCAGGTGGGTGTACTCAGGGGCCGCGACCTGGTCACTGTTCGCTCCAAGCCCATCCCCACCATCAGGGGCTCTGGTGAACAAGCGGACTGGGGCTTAGACTCCGCGCCCTGGGGAATCCTGTCCTGTGGACTGCTAGAGTACACCAGGTGGTCCATAACACCTCCTCTTCATGGTTCCCCCGCTGGCGCTCCTGGCCCCTCCCACCTGTCAGGTGCCCCCACAGTAAGCAGTTTGCTATGGGGACACCTGCTTCTCAATCTGTTCATTCACACACAAAGCCACAGCTCTGCCCCGCCCCCCTCTCTCTTCTCATTGGTTCACTGGCTGTGATTGACAGCAGTGAGAGCCAATGGCTCCCGCTTCTGTCTCAGTCAATGAGGAGAGGGAGTCTCGGGATAGCCGAGACTCCAGTGCATATCGCTGGATCAAGAGGGGGCTTAGGTGAGTATTGGGAGGGGGGCGGGGGCTTGGCTGGATGCTGCACAGAGAAGGTTTTTTACCATCATGTATAGAATGCATGATGGTAAAAAACCTTGAACCTGTAGAATCACTTTAACCACTTTAACTTTATCAAGTGGTTGCCTACGGGGCACTTATACCCCCTTCCTGCCCAGGCCATTTTTCAGCTTTCAGTGCTGTCGCATTTTGAATGACAATCGAGCGGTCATGCAACACTGTACCCATATGAAATTTTAATCATTTTTTTTGAGACGGATAGAGCTTTCTTTTGATGGTACTTAATCACCTCTGGGTTTTTTATTTTTTGCAAACCAAAAACAACTGAGAATTTTGAAAAAAAAAAGTTTTTTCTTAGTTTCTGTTATAAAATTTTGTAAATAAGTGATTTTTCTTCTTCACTGATGTGCACTAATGAGGCTGCAGTGATGGGCACTGATAGGCTGCACTGATGGGCACTGATAATCAGCACTGATGGGCACTGATTAGGAGGCACTGGTACGTGGCACTGATGGGCATTGGCAGGCATCACTGATGGGCACTGAAAGGCAGCACTCATATATGACACTGATAGGTGGTACTGATAGGCAGCACTGACAGGCAGCACTGACTGGCACTGTTAGGTGGCACTGTTAGGCGGCACTGATGCACACTGATAGGCGGCACTGACCCTGCACTGATAGGCGGCACTGACTGGCATTGATAGGTGGCACTGATAGGTGACACTGAAAGGCAGCTCAGAAGGGCACTGATATGTGGCATTGATGTGGCACTGATGGGCACTGGCAGGTGGCATTGATGGGTAATGACAGGTGGCATTAATGGGCGCTGACAGGTGGCACTGGTGGGTCTACACTGATCATCAGGGCACACTGATCATGCCCTGATGATCAATGTACATGTCCCCTTTGAGGAATGACGATTACCGGCTTTCCTCTTTCACGAGCTGTCAGCGTGAGGAGAGGAATACCGATAACCGGCATTTCCTTCTTTACATGCGATCAGCTGTGATTGGACACAGCTGATCACATGACAGAGCCGACGTCTTCGGCTCTTTCCATTGATCAGTGGTCCGTTGTGTCCCAGGGACACAGCACACCACCAATCATCGCGCTGCGTGCCCCCGGGGGGGTGCGCATGTGTGGTTAGAGTGGGAGGATGTCATATGACGTCCTCCTAGAACGAGAGAACCACCTTGTACCCATCATTTCCCTATATGGTGGGCAGGAGGCTGTTAAAGTAAGGTCTCTCTTGGAGTCTGGTATCAATGAGAATGGCAAATGAGATTAACTCCTGAAGATTCTTAGGTATATCTTGAGCTGCAATCTCATCTTTACTGTTATCAGAGAGGCCATGGGAAAAAGCAGCCATGAGAGCCTCATTGTTCCAACCAACCTCTGCTGCCAGAATACGGAATTCAATTGCGTAGTCGGCAACAGTTCTTGTGCTCTGTTTAATGGACATGAGGCTCTTGGCAGCAGAGGTGGAGCAAGCGGGAATATCAAATACCCTTTTAAAGGAGGCCACAAGCTCAGGGTAATTCTGGACAATGAGTTTTTGTGTCTCCTATAGAGGGTTTGCCCAAGCCAAGGCTTTGTCAGAAAGCAAAGAAATAGTGAAGCCTACTTTGCTTCTGTTCATACGGAACACCTGGGGCAGTATCTCAAAATATATTCCAACCTGGTTGAGAAACCATCTGCAGTGAGCTGGATCACCCCCAAACCGCTGGGGAAGCGGAGCAGAAGAAGTCATACCTTTTACAGTGGTAGTATCAGAAGTGGCTGCCTGAATTGAGATAGAAGCAGCAGCAGGGAAGGTTTGCAACACTGGTTGTACTGGAAGAAGCGGGTGTACCCTTGATATCTTGTATCCTGGCTTCTCCTGGCATTGGGTCCACTTGGGTCTTCACATCCTCTGCGCCATGAGTGTTGATTTTACTATATACTATTTATGTTTGTGAGTATGTTTTTAGCATTTTATACTAAAAAATAAACCTGCAGGGATAATGCACTAGGCTCGTGCACCCTTCCTCTTTTGTTTGAAGGCCTTAATATCCCTGGATGTGGGTTCATAGGGCATTCTATCTACCCTGGTCTATCACACCCATGCACAGGAGTAATTGTTTTCTTTTGCTACTGTACCGGAGAAGCCGGGGTAGGAGGATCCAGATTAACAGTTACGATTAGGAGCATTTGTAATGCTATGTCAAACTAATCCAAGCGGTGTTCCTGCTTCTCTAATCTGGAAAAAATATTATGACTAAGTGGATTGCTTGCATCTTCTGAATTCATGGGCCATGCATAATTTCAGGAACCATGAACCAGGAAGAGACAGAAAGTGCAGTTAAAAACACACCATTAATGAAAAAGCAAAAATAACATAGTTCAGAAAGTAGCCAAAACAGAAGCCATGGTTTGGATACAAGAGTGGGTAATCAGGCGAGCCAGGGTCAGGAAACCAGCAGTAGCAGGAGCCCAGTCCTGACAAATATAAAGACTCAGTAGAGAAAAGCAGAGTATACAGACAAGGTAGAAATGAATAGAGTAAGGGAAAGCAGTACAGACAAAGCAGAGCGGAGCAGTGTAGAGAACAGAAGAGTATACAGACAAAAAAGGGGGGTGGAAGCAGAGTAGAGATGTGCAGAGTGCTACATAGCACATAAGATAATAGTTCAAAATGGATATCTTTAAACCCCTCAATGTTTGATGAGCGAAAAAAATAGGTTAACATCAAGTGTAACTACAGGGGTCACAATTGGGACCCAGCCCCATGCTCCAGGAGACCTGTGTGGCTCCCTTGTCACATAGGAGGGGTGGCGGGGGTAGCATATAGAGGACCCAGCTTCTTCTCCTCTCCCTCCCACCAGCATTCAGTGGCTGCAGGAGGAAAATGGAGGGCATCACTTCCTCTACATGTTGCCCCTGTCACCCTTCCCGTCCAGCATCCTCTTCTTTCTGCTGCCCACAGCCCCTGTGTGCTCCCCGGGTTTCCCCCCCCCTTCCCTCACAGTGCTGCATTTCTCTGGTTAAGGTGAAACATCACAGATTTGTTTAGTCCCTCAACTGGGCTCCTAAAAAATTGTGAAAAAAATTGTAAAATAAACCTCCAAATGGTAAAAAGTAATAAAGATATAAAATAAAAATAAAAAACGACTGACCTCATCCATTGCCTACTGACAAAGTCCACTGCCATACTAACTCCGTCCGCTCCTCTGCTAACTGACACAATTCAAAGACATACCTACTCCAGTTGCGGAACTACCAGGGTCACAAAAGTAGCACTTACGACAGGGCCCTGGTGTTCCACCACCGTGGGGGGACTCTAAGTAATTAGAAAGGGGGCCCGTTGCAGAACATGTGGAAGGGTCCCACTGAGGGACTGTAGTAAAGGGCCCTGAGATCAGTAGGAAGGGCCCTGGGTTCAAAGGAAGAGCCCAGTTGAGGTTTTATTTGGGGCCCTTCATGGTTTCTTGAACTGGGGCCCTGAAGGTTTTAGTTAACACTAATTTTTTCCAGGAAAAACTAGTATTCCAACACAGAAATTGTCTCCAAAAATTTGAAAAATGACAATTATTACCCTGATTGTACCTTAAATATAAAAATATTGTGTAAATGAATGACAACAGACTGTTTTGATGCTTCCTTTTTTGAAATGGCAGGTCACCAGAAATACAGACTAGGTAGAAGGTAGCAGAGTTTACAGACAAGCTAAAAGGGAGCAGAGTAGAGAAGACCAGAGTATACAGACTAGGTAGAAGAGAGAAGAGTTGAGAGGAGCAGAGTATACAGACTAGGTAGAGGGGAGAAGAGTAAAGAAGAGCAAAGTATACAGAATAGATAGAGAGGAACAGAGTAGAGAACAGTTAATGGAAGCAGAGTATACACACTAGGAATTGGGGACCAGGATAGTTGGGAGCAGAGTGTACAGATCAGGTATTGGAGATCAGAGTAGATGGAAGCAGAGGATACAGACTAGCTACTGGGGAGTAGATGGGAGCAGAGTGTACAGACTAGGTATTGGGGAGTAGATGGGAGCAGAGTATACATACTAGGTATTGTGGAGTAGACAGGAGCAGAGTATATAGACTAGGTATTGGGGAGTAAATGGGAGCAGAGCATACAGACTAAGTATTAGGGATCAGGGTAGATGGAAGCAGAGTATACAAACTAGGTATTGGGAAGTAGATGGGAGCAGAGTATTCAGACTAGGTAGAGTAGATGGGTTCAAAGTATACAGACTAAGCTATGGGGTGCAGAGTTAATGGAAGCAGAGTATACAAACTAGGTATTGGGTATCAGAGTAGATGGGAGCCGAGTGTTCAGACCAAGTATTGAGATCAGAGTAGATGGAAACAGAGCATACAGACTAGGTACTGAGGAGTAGATGAGAGCAGAGTATACAGACTAGGTATTGAGGAACAGAGTAGATGGAAGCAGAGTATACAGACAATGTAGAGTAGATGGGAGCAGAGTGTACAGACTACGTAATGGGGAAAGAGTAGATGGAAGCAGAGTATATGTTCTCCATGACTGTACTCTTCATTCTAACTATCCCACCACACCTTTAGTGTCACTTACAATTCTACGACCTCGTCTCTTCTTCCTTTTTCTGTTGGGATCCCCCAAGGTTCTGTTCTTAGACCTTTCCTATTCTTGATCTACACCTCCTCTCTGGGTCAGCTGATAGCCACCCATGACTTTCAATACCATTTCTCTGCTGATGACTCCCAAATCTATCTCTCTACCGCTCAGCTCACTCCATCAGTCTTGTCACGCATTACTAATTTACTAACAGACATATCAGTGTGGATGTCACACCATTTCCTCAAACTCAATCTATCCAAAAGTAAACTCATAATATTTCCTCCCCCATGTACTGTACCTCTTTCCTTGACTTCTCTATCAAGAGCATACCAGGGTGCTAGGTGTAATCCTGGACTCTGAACTATCCTTTCAGCCTCACATCCAATCACTGTCCAAAGCTTTCTGGCCTCAACCTCTGCAGGATCTCCAAAATATGCACCTTTCTAACCAATGAAAACTACAAAGATTCTAATTCACTCTCTGGTTAACTCTTGCCTTGACTACTGCAGCTACCTCCTCATTGGCTTACCTTTACATAGGCTATCACCCCTTCATGTCATCATCATGAATGCTCCTACCAGACCACCTTACCAACCGTTCATTGTTTGTTCCCCCTCTCAGCCAATTCCTCCACTAGCTTCCGCTCACCCAACAAATTAAATTCAAAATACTAGCAATAACTGACAAAGCCATTCACAACTTAGCACCCAGCTACATCACTAACCTAGTCTTAAAATACCAACCTAATCGTTCTCTTCATTCCTCCTAAGTCTATTCTTGCCTCCAGGTCTTCCCCTGAGACTCTGTGTAGTAAGGAGAGAAGAAGGAGCGCCTCTAAGTGCAGCAGACCACTTTAATATATAATAAAAAGTAGGAACACTCACATGTTAATTGAGTAATAAAAGCATGTAGGGTATTGTGGTGTAGAAACACCATGTGGAACGGCTGTCACTGGTGCCTGTATCGTCCGCATCTCAATGGTAGGGAGCGTGGTTCAGGAGGGAGCCGGTATGCAAGTACTCCTCAAGTGATTCCCCTGCTTGAGAAAGGAGCGCGCTTCCGCCACTAGAGGCCAGCGCATGCTCCGAAATGCTTCCCATTGCATCTTGGTCACTGACGACATCACGCCTACGCCGACGTTGCGGTTCAGCGTGCGTTCCAGCAGCCATCTTTAGGAGTACGTGCATGCCGGCCGGCTCCACATCTGTCTCCT